AAAACACCACGGGTAGGGGAAAAAGGACCCCCAGAATTTAGGTTTTCTTATTGGCTAACATAGAGGAAACACTGTCCTTCATTCTACATAGGTACAGCAGGAGACAAGTTGATATAAATGGGGGAAAACACGTAACTTTCTGTTTGGTGGTGACCAGACAATGAAGGATATAGGAATGGGAGACATGGGGGCAGGGAGTGGCCCTGTCACCTCTGCATGTTACTGTGAGCTGTGCAAATATAGCTGCTGTGTGACGCCGACTTCATTCTGACAGGCAAGGACTCCATGTGGCCCAGCGGAAGGCCCCTACGGTCTCCACAGTGGTCATCTTTAAAGCAGGAGACCGCCAGGCCTTTCTCACAAGGAGCAGCTGGGTGGGTGTGAAGTGCCAGCTTCTTGGCTAGCGGTGAAACACTAAACTTTCTGCACCACCAAGCCAAAGCAAATCCCACTGTCGTTGTATCAACCGACCCACAGCCACTGGGTCCAGCGGGGCAGAGAGGAGCTGCCCACACAGTGGCCGTGTTTACAGGAGCTCGATCGCCAGGCCTTTCGCCCGTGGATCCGCTGGTAGGTTTGAACTGCAGACCTCTGGGGTGAGCAGTCCCGTGATTTAAGGACGGCGCCACCACGCGTCCCCACAGGTTTTCAGAGGCCGTAAGCTGCGTGCGAGGAGACTGTTCACCTTCCTCACAGGCAGCTGCGGGTGGATTCAACACACTTGAGAGGTTCAGTCTTGGGTGAGGAACCCAGCTCCTTACGGACCACACCCCAGAGCCCCCTTGGATAATGACAGAAAAGTGGAGAACTCGAGGGGCTCAAAAGCTGCATCTGGCTGAACGGAGACCCCCCCCAGATGGTGGCCTGAGTGTCTGCAAGGAGCCGGAGGCACGAGTTTTAAAGAAAGTTCTGTCCCCAATAGTCACCCAGGACTACGGACCCCAGAGGGAGCTCTTGTGCCGTCTGTAGAGAGCGGCACTGCTGACCCAAAGGGGCCTCTCTGGAGGTTCGAATCCACCAATGAATCCGGGGGGCGGTGGGGGGATGAGTAACTTCCTCCCGAGCGTGGACAGCTTTGGAAATGCAGCAGGGGGTCAGCTCTGAGTGGGCCCTGAGTGCACAGCAACGACAGAGAGGGAGCCCGTGATGCCACGCTTGTCAGCACTGCTGGACAGAGAGGTGGCGTGGAAGGGACCCAGGTGACCCTCCAACAGACTTAAAGAGGTGGGTGCCCATAGCTGGTGGGGAGCTGGTGGGAAGGCTGCCGCCAAAATCCAACCTCAGCACAAGGCCGGCCTGTGATCAAAAAGTGCACTGACTCTCCGAGTAAGTGAGAGACAGACAGAGACAGACAGAGAACAGACAACAGCGAGAGAGACAAGGGGTGGGGGAGGAAAGAGGGCTGCAGAGAGAGAAGCAAAGGAGAGGAGAAGGAGAGATAAAGGGCAGACAGAAAAAGAAGGGGCCGCGTCACCATCAGGTGTCCCCTCTCCCCGCTGGCCGGTCAGAATCCACTCGGCAGGCCTTCTGGCAATTTCCGAGGCTGTCAACCACACAGGAGACTTCCCACCCACCTTTCTCCACTGGAGCCAGTGGATTCGAACTCCCAGAGAGACATGGCCTCCGGGTTACAGAGTAACCAGCTATGAACGACACCGCCAGAGCTCACTAGGCCACCCCATTACCAAGCACGTTCTGACCCATAGCAACCGTCCACTGTGGTCCCATGGCCCTACATCTTACTGGAAGGCAGTGTCTGTTTTTCTCCTGAAGACCAGCTGGAGGGCTTGAACTTCTGACCTTAGTGAGCAGCCCATCATGTTACCGTGATACACGGCTTCTCCAGTGTTCCTGTTGTTGATGTACCGTCTGACCCCACAACTGATGCTCAGCTGACCCACTAGCCAGTTTTCTGAGGCAGTAACTCATACAGAGGAGACTGCCTATCTTTCTCCCAACGAGCAGCTGGTGAATTTGAACCTCGCACCTTTGGGATTGCAGCGCAGCTTCTTACCACTAAGCCACCAGGGCTCAGAACTGCTAGTGAGTGCTATTTGGAGGACTTCATTCTTGGGTACTGGCCCCTCCATCACCACAGAGAGGACCTTCCCAGCCTACCTTGGCAAGAATGTGCTTGTCCTTGATGATGTACTCGTAGGTGGTCAGGAGGACGTTGAACTTGCCACTCCGCAGCTGAGGGACCAGCGAACGGCGCATGGCCGGCGTGCCCTGGAAGGAAACACCACTCTGTTCCCCACTGTCCCGTCAGACCCCAGGCAGGCCGGGAAGGGAGGGGGAGGAGATGGAGGTGACCCCAAGGACAGCCCTCCAGGCCCCGTTTCCATGGGAGTCACCTCCTGCTGTCTCAGCCACGGCGCAGACGTGGGCATCTGTTATTTGTATGACTCTCCTCAGGGACCTGATAATTAACAATTTTCTCCTGCATTTCACTATCTCAGAGTAATTACAGTTTATTACAATGATCTTCCAGGCGTGAGCAACCCTTGCTATCTCGTGCATGACGTGCGTGCGTGACAAAACCTCACAGCCAGCCCTGCTCACACACACGTGTAAGGGCGGAGGGGACAGGGTCGCGGAGCCCTGGGGGCCTTCCCACCCTCGGACACAAACACAGCCACACACCTTGTAGGAGATTTTCACCACAGAAGGCGCCCATTTGTCGAATTCATACGTCCAGTTAGACAGCGTCCTAGAGAAGAGAAACACAAGTCGTTGTTCCGTGCCGTCGATCTGCCTGCGACTCATAGTGACCCTGTGTACAACTGGCCTAAACCTGCTCTGTCCTGTGCCAAGTGCACTACCTCCAACACACCCACCCCCTTTACTCCAGTTACTGAATCAATCCATCTCATCGAAGGTCTTCCTCTCCTGCACTGTCCCTCCACCCTCCCAAGCATGATGTCTTTCTCCAAGGGACAACATGTCAGACGAAGCTTTAGAATCCTTGCCTCCAAGGAGCAGCCTGATTTAACCCTCTCCAGGTTAAACTTGTTCATTTTCTCAGCAGTCCATAGTATATTCAATACTCTTCTCCAACACCACAGCTCAAAGGCATCAATTCTCCTTCTATCCTCCTTGGTCATTGTCCAACTCTGTGATGCATAACAGGTGATTGCAAAGACCATGGCCTGTATCAGGCGCACCTTAGTCTCCAGAGTGACACCATTGCTCTCCAGTACTCTGAAGAAGTCCCTAACAGCAGGCAGACATGAGCACATGGTAATGAAGGCACATGCAAAAATCCAAAAAGGAGGAGTTCTCAGGATACCTCAGAGCACAGGTGTACCTGCAGGCAGCTCACTGAGTGAAATGTGCCAGTCACAAAAGGACAAATATGGCCTGTGTCCACTGTCTAAATAAGTTAAGGAGAGGTTTACACACACACACACACATACAACCTCATTCCCGGCTACTGGGATCCCAGGGTGCTTTCCGGGGATGGGAGGCACAGCAGGAGGGAAAATCAGTAACGAGCAAAGACGTCACCTGTGATTCTGACACACAGTAACCCTTAGCCAGGTTTCTGAATCTTTTTGGGAGGAGATGGCCTCGTTTCTCCTGTGGGTCTGCTGGTGGATCCAAACCACCAACCTTCTGGTCAACAATCCAACACATACTGCATTGTGCCACCAGGGCTCCTTAACTCGTTTTAAAAAACTCACTGATGTGGAGTCAGGATGAACGCATAGCTGACCCTCCATCAGATTTCTGGAGGCTGTAAATCGCAAGAAAGGAGTCTGCCTCTCTTTCTCCTAAGGAGCAGCGATTAACTTCAAACCACCAGCACAACTCCTATCCACTAGGCCACAAGACCCCCTGGCTGTTAGTTGAGTTTCTCCCTAGAAGCTGCTGGGGCTTTCAAAGCACCAGGAAGGAGTGGCCTCTGTCTTCCAAGCTCTCTAACGAGACGAGACAGATATCTATTTAGACAAGTGAGGTGGCGCCCCTTCACCCCTCAGAAAAGTAAGGAAAAGGCACATTGTAAGCAAGAATGAGTGACCAGAAGCTTCCCCTTGAAAGGGCTAAGAATATAAACCACCACCACCACATATGTACTTTAAAAACATGGAAGTGAGAGATAAGTTAGCCAGAAGTTGCCAGAAAGTGTGTTTGAGGGACACACAAACACAGACATCCTAAGAAGACAATAACAGAATGCATAACTCTATAAGGAGAAGAAATGAAGAAAGAACTCTGCATTAACCAGCACTGAGAAATGAGGCGCGGGCAGGGGGCTTTGTGGGCCTTCAGAAACAGTCATGTAAGCCCAGCGAGGCTGCCGGGAGCGGAAACTACAAAACCACATGGCAATGTTCAATAAATCTGCCAAGAAGGCACACGGAAGGAGGTCCCCAACAGTCCAGGCCTTACACGCACGCTAGAAAATGCTAACGTGCATTCAAAATGTAGGGGGAAGGGCAAATACCTAGACCTCACTGGTGGATGAAACGCATAGGGCAGAGTCAAAATACAGACGAAACACAACTCTGGATTCAAACCCAAAGTGTAGGTTCAAAGTATCAATGAAACACAAAAGGGAGATCTGATATATAGATGAAATGCAAACTGTAGGTTCAAAATAGAGAAAAAAGAAATTCAAAAATCAGATTCAACATATAAATACTATAATGTAAAAGGTGTGTAAATATTACTGATTACAGCCAGATTTTTTAAAAAAATGCTGCAAATAGTCTCATTTAGACAACATTTGAAGGAAATACATAAATAGAACCCTCATCCTTCAACAAAGAAAGATGCAGCCAAAGATGCACAGGCAGACAGGCCCGACTCAAGGTCAAGGACTGGGCTGCTTAACCCAGGGTCAGGGGTTCAAACCCACTGTGGTTCCATGAGAAAAAGACCTGGTGACTTCAATCCAGGGAACTCAGCAGGGCAGCTCTCCTCTGTTACCTGGGGGCACTCTGAGTGAGGTCTGACTTGATAGCCCCTAACATCAACTCCTTCATTCAAGGAGCCCTGGTAGCACAATGGTTACACACTAGGCTAAACACTTAGATGTTAACTAAATGGTTGGTAGTTCGAACCCACCAGCTGACCCAAGAGAGAAAAAACTGGCAAACTGCTCCTGTAAGTATTACAGCCTAGGAAATGCTAACGGGGGAGCTTTAATCTGCCACAGGGGTTCCTCCGAGTCACGCTTAACTTGGAGACATCTGACTATAATCTATAAAAATAAAAGAATAAATAAAAATAAGACACAACGCCTGCAGGATCGAGCAGAGCCACTGGGAGAATTTTCTAGGCTGGCATCTGTAGGAAGCCGAAGGCCTCTCCTTTCTCCTTCCAAACAGCTACTGAGTTCAAACCACTGACCGCTGGCAAAGCGGGCGGGTGCTCCAAGTGTTGCCAGGTGTCCTTTAATAAAAATGCTTATGTTCTCACATATTCTTTAGAAACTGAAATAAGACTTTCAGAAATGGGAAAAAAACTCAAAGACTTATTTAAAACGTGAAAAAAATACTTCTGGGTCCCAGGCTACTTAACAAGTGCTGATGATCGCTACCCATTACACAGTGGGCAGGCTGTGTAGACGGTCCACCTAAGACCTGATAAAACCACAGGGTTCTGGTCTTAACAGCCAGTCAAGGAGGTTGTTGCTGTGCACGGTTGAGTCTGAACTGACTCTCCAGAAGATTTATAGAAGAAGTAAATCACACAGGAGGAGACCACCCATCTTTCTTCCACGGAGTAACTGGTGGATTCAAACTGGTGCCTCTGGGACTGCAGCACCACTTCTTAGCACTAGGCCACCAGACTGCCCTTCGTCAAGGACAAGGAGAAGGAGAAGCTAACCTGACCCCTGCCTGGCACTCTGCTCCACACTGCCCACTGCTGTACATGAGTGGGCAGGACAGGCTGCTCCCAGGGCCCACCCCGTTCTGGACAGCAGGGGGACCAGCGGCTGTGCTCACGACACAGCCCACTACATACACGCAGGGGGACCAGCGGCTGTACTCACGACACTGCCCACTACGTACACACAGGGGGGACCAGCGGCTGTACTCACGACACTGCCCACTACG